GTTGACCTCTTAAAAATAAACGTTCACTATTGGCAATAAAAAACTTCTCTTCCAACAATTGATTTATTTTGTCTTTATCTGATAACATTTGTTGTTGATATTGTTGACTTTGCGAGAGCATCGTTTCGTACATGTTTCGATATGATTTTACGATTTCTCGTGTTGTTGTATCAAATAGTCGACGACGATTTCATCTGAAAGGAGATACTGCTTCTGTGTGTTGGGGATTGTGCTTGTTAACGCATGTTGCGCGTTACTGAGTCGGACAGTTTTTAATAAATTTAAACATATAAACTTCATAACTTCAAACCAAATCAGTACTTTCAATCTAAAGTATGAAAGTACTGATTTGGTTTGAAGTTATGAAGTTTATATGTGTAAATTTATTAAAAACACCGCTCTATATTTAATATTGTTAATATAAACCCCATAAGATGTCTTTGTCGGAAATTCGCCTGTTGTGAACTGAAGGCATCCTGAACACCAATACCAGACAAAATCGGAAAAATATTTCTTGTATCCCACCACTTCTTCTGTATAATTCACCGATAGAAGAAAAGAAAGAAGTGAAGTATTTAGGCTTAATGTTTACTAATGATTTAACATGAACTACCCATATAAATACAGTTTATTTTAAACATCTTCGATAGTAGGATTGATGAAATATTATAAACATGTATTGTATAGAAATGCACTTGAAATTATCTATAAATCATGTGTTTTATCAATTCTGAACTATGGTTGTATTATTTACTCCTTAACTACTGCGGCTAACTTGAATAAATTAGAAAGTGTGCAATATAAAGCAGCAATTGCAACTGTAGGTGCGATGAAAGGAACATCAAGAGAGAAAGTGTACGGAATATTAGGGTGGTTCTCTTTGAAAGATCATTTCCGAATTTTACGACTATTAACATTTTCTAAAATCATGAAAGGACTTACGCTTGGTTACTTGTCTGTGCATTTACATGTTCGTCAACCAAATGAAAGATATAAGCTACGCAGTAATCGAAATACAACTATAGAAACATTGAGTAATACTTCTAAAGAATTTTTTGTAGTAGTAACTGAAGAATGGAATAGACTAGTATTTAGAGATCCTGGAGTTTTGTTTGTTGATTTTAAGCCGCTTCGCATATTCGCATTGCGGTCTATGTGAGTCACGTATTTTTTCAAGTGTCTATATTAGAATCTATTTGTATGTATCAAGAATGCACTTATTGTATTGTACAGTTGTTCATTTTTAATCACTTCATTGAAATGGCTAGTTGTGTATATAGCCATACCATGATATAATTCTGTTCTCAAGGGTTCATAAAACATGCAGTCTAACAACAAATGCCGTCGTGTTTCCAGTTGAATGTTGCAATGCTTACAAAATGGGCTGTCTGTCTTTCCTTTCAGAAATGAAGTTGCATCTATCGACAAGTCATTGAGAAGGAATCGAAACACAAGAGTCTGTCTTTTTCTATTGCCAATTATGTCCTTAAGCCGTATGTTTTCAATATCTGGATTTGTATGGTAATACAATCTTGCAGTTTTAAGAATGAAAGTTGCTTTAGTGAGAGTAATATTAAAAAATGAGGTAACACCAACTGGAAAATTTTCTAAACGTTTAAAGTTTGCCATAAGGCGAGAAGAAATAATATTTATGCGTATTAAGTGTGAATTTCCACCTTTCAATCATTATCTATACAAACGGAAATGTGTCGAGTCACCTTGGTGCAGTTGTGGCCGTGAGAGGGAGGATATTGTACATTATTTTTTCAACTGTACACTGTACCATATTCAGAGAAATCTGTTAGAACGGAAACTGAATTTTTTAAATGGAATTACACTAGATACTTTTCTACTAAATAAATTACAGTTGGATGAGGACACGCAGTGTACTGTTTTCGATGCGGTCAACTGCTATATAAGTGGAACGAAGAGATTTGAAAACCAGCTGCACTTTATTTTATCATTTTATCATTTTCAGAGTGTCAGTCACCGCCACTTCGTCCGACCTGGCTCATTATCACTAAAATCTTCATTTTTCTCCTACTTTCTTTTTGCTGTTGCTCATTGTATTATCCATCTGTATTTTATTTTACTCTTTCATACTCTAGTATTCAGAGCTAGGCCTAAAATGATTTTATCGCAGGCCTTATTTGAAAAGAATCAATAAAGATATACACAAAAAAATAAATAAATAAATAATGTTATATCCAATGTTTGCTCCCGTATCATAAATATAAATGGTCGATCACATTTGAATTCTATTATTGATAACGGCATACTCTTAGCCTTAACGGTAACAACTGTAATAGCTGCTGCTTTCGAACCTTGTTCATTAACATCTAACACCGCTCTATATTTAATATTGCTAATATAAACTCCATAAGATGTCTTTGTCATTTGTTGGAAATTCGCCTGTTGTGAACTGAAGGTATCCTGAACACCAATTTGTTGGAATACTGATGTCAGATTATCAAATAAATATTACATTTTAAATTTTGGTAAATATAAGTCAACATGACGTGATTGTTTTTTTGTCTTTTGTAACTGATTAAATAATGGTTCAGTCAACAGTTGTTCCATCTGTTCTAACTGAACACGTCGGTTTGGTAATATAACTGTAAATACATATTGGGCTTTAGTTTGATTACTACTGTTATATGGAATAAATAATATTTGTGATTGCAAAATGAATATTTGCATCGATATAATCAAATGTTTGTTCGGTAAACATCATTGTATAATTAGATTATTTACGACCATCAGACAAATAAAATGTAGAATTAGATTTTGTCTGCTCTTTATCAAATGTATGAACCCAATTACCTGCAATCCGTTTGTCAAAATAAATCTCTCTTTTATGGTAATAAACGGAAAACATGCTCGAAGTTTTAATTTTGATGGAGTTATAGGACTTTTACTGAAAGCGTCGCCATACGCAGAATTTATAAGATTAATGAAAAAATGCTTGACAACCGGTAGAAAAATTATTATTTCCTTGTGGGGTTTGATGAAAAAAATGTGAAGCGTAGCTAAAAGATACAGCGAACAAAGTGGCTAATTTAGTTTTTCTTACTTTCAAAACGTTAACACATGAAATCGTTTTTGATTCTAGAAAGCTTTCATTTTTTCCGTCTTTCATATAATTTGCTTAGCTTTCTTGGCTCATTTTGGGCGTTTTTGAGTTCTTTCCGGCAGGAAAGCGCAAAGAACTGCCGAATTCACTCGTGAATACAGCCACTCTATCGTTCAGAAGATCAGTTTACAGCTATTAACTATTTCCAAAAATGCAAAACGGAGTTGAGAATAAAAAGTTCAAAAACTCAACTCCAACTCCGCCAAGGTCAACTCCACCAAAAAAAACCTCGACTCCGGAGTTGGATTTGCCTAGCCTTGAACCAGGAAACCTTCCCAAGTGTCCAGTCGCTTTTCCCGTAAAACATACACGATTGTGCGTAATCTTTGATGCTGATCATGAATCAAATGTCCATTTCTGCTGCCAAGCCTTCCTGGGGCGGCTCCCTCGACAGATTTACTATGAATTTCCAGCTGAACGTATTTTGGCACTCGATTGTAGAGCACGTTGAATTACCTATGTGGGAAAATGTTCAGAACCAACGAACGAGTTTTCGCACAGATAGAAAAAGTTTCTTTTCTAATCCAGTAGCGAACCAAATATTTCACATTTATGAACCCTAAACTTTTTCTATCTCTGCGAAAACTCGTTCGTTGGTTCGGAACATTTTCTCACATAGGTAATTCAACGTGCGCTACAATCGGACTGTGCAAAATATGTTCAGCTGGAAATTCATAGTGAATCTGTGAGCACCTGCATTCTAGGAACCCATCCTAGGAAGGCCTAGCAACAGCAACGGATATCAGGTTCAGGATCAGCATCAAAGATTACCCACAAACGTGTACGTTTTAAGGAAAAAGCGATTGGTCACTTGGAAAGGTTCCCGGGTAAGTCAGTCTGAAAATGAAAATAATTTCTTCATTAAAGGCAAATGATTTATCATAAAGTGTTGTTATCAAATAACGATGTCTACGGGCATTTTTTGAATAATCTGTGAAGGAAGAGAGTTGGAGACGTGAGATTTTCGTTGTTTCATAGAGAAGGTTCAGACTTCTTTCTAACAATGAAAAATTTGGTCTGAAAATTGCAGGATATGCGGTTGGAATTCAACGTTTTACTAGTTGACCAATACCGACGAAACTTTATTACTAACCGGAACTGTGTTACTTCCCAAAACACCTGAATCAGCATGTCATTTTTTCTTGCACTATGCAAAATACACTAACATTCGTAGGGGTAATAGTAAAACATGAAGACGCCCACAGACACTTACAGACACTTACAGACAGCTACACAGACACCCATGGATGTCTGTGTTTGGATGTCTGTATAGCTGTCTGTGGATGTCTGTGTGCTATCTGTAAGTGTCTGCGGGTGTCTTCATGTTTTACTATTACACCATTCGTAGCTCATTAATCAGAATTGCTAAAACTAACTGATTTATCGTTGTTAAGTAAATTTCCTTTAATTGTTTCAAAAACTCTTCTCTTACAGGAAATCCATTCTTGATATACAAACGGTTGGCTAATCGTATTTGTAATTGATTAAGATCTTGTGTTGTTATGCTTGTTAATATTCATTTCGATCGCTCATTCATGTTCTCAATCGATATCACATTTAATACCTGTAATAATTGGTCTGATGTTCTGTTGTCAGCACCTAATGTTGTCATCGATAATGCCAATGATATACTTGCTGGTGATATAAAAACATTTTTCTTTGTTGTTTTTGATAATTCGTTGAATAATTGGAAACCGAATGTTTCAAAGTTTTTATTGACAACTACAAGAAAGTCAAGATTGCGAAACGTTCGACTCCAACAAAATATATTATACCTTAATTAACTCTTAAGTAAGGACCATTTGTAGAACGATAATTACTATGAGTTAATAAGAAATAATAAGTAAAAGAAAATACAAATAATATGAAACGAATCATATTTTTTTGTTGTTGATACAACTGTCTGTTGTATTTTACTTTTTCTGAGCAATATATAGAACATCAAGTATTTATTCTATATACAGAATTTGTTAGAATTTCGCATTTATTCAGTGTGTATGTAACATCGATAACGAGAGTTAGATGCATTTGAACAAGAAAAGAAGAGGTATAAAGAACTTCATATAAAATTTGTTTTTTTTCGCTTATTTATTTGCGCATTCAGTCAAATCTAAAGTTCAGGTTTTCTCTCGATTGGGCCCAATACGCTCACATCCATTTCTAATGTGACCCTTTGATGCTGTTTGATCTTCCAAATAATTAGCGACAAATCGAGCGTATACTAAAATTTACATGATTTTTGTTCTTACTCTATTGCGTATAAAAGAAATTTGCGAAAAATATTTGAAGGAAGTAAAATACCAAAATATTACGTACAGTAGATAAAAGAAATTCAACAAGCTTTGTAAAAGAAGTCATTTGAACGAATCTGACCGCATGTGTGTTTCAAACACACGGGACAGCGACTAGTGTAGTGGAGTCTAAATTTGCAGTGAGATCCTCGTCGTTAAATATAAAAAACACCGAAAAAGTAGCTGCCATCCGCCAGATCCAGGCATACTAGTATAAAATTTCAGCTTTATTTTCGGCTTTTCGTGCTGTCATTTCATCGTTTTGGATATTTTTTTACATGACGGACAGTCATCAGAAATTTCATGATAGTCAACAACACGTTGTTCTTTTTCTTTTCTTACACCATACAATAAAACTGTTACAACTTAACTCTTTGATATCTCTGCACTGTCTAGGAGAGAGTTTTTATATTTTACAAGGTGAGGAACTTATGTATCATCAATACAATAATCTGTAACATGGTCTTCAAAATGCATTGAGTTAGAAAGATATCTCTTGCTTGCTTCTATTCATTACCCGTCACCACTACAAAGTCACTACAAGGTCACCACTGTAGTGGAAAAAGTGTAGTGTTGTTTTTTCCCCCTACGAAAAAACTCGGTCTAAAAAAGTTCGAAAAAGCTCAAATAGTATCGAGTTTCGATTTTATTATTACATACTTCTATTATCAATTATTTCAAGTTTTACAACTGAACCAGGATTGAAATCTTCATAAATATGAATTTTTCCATGTATACAACCGTTTTAATTCTCACTATAATATGTTTTTGCTTGTTCTATTTGAAATGGCCCAACTATGTTCTCTGTTTGGATAAGCGTCATGAATTGGACCAAGTAGTTTCTCGATCGTTGTTCCATGTGGATTGGATTTGCTATATTAGTATTATCACTATTTGATTTGGTAAATGAACAATAATCGACAGTGTTTATCCAATAATTAGTGTAATCAACTTTCGTCGGTATCTACAAAGAAAAGCACGTGTTATTCGAAACTAATTTCCATTTTTCTGCTTACTGGTGATTGATTATCACGTTGATCACGTTGTATTTACGGGTTATCCTATAGGAATGTCCGTTTACAGTACACTTACGGTGAAATACGGTTTTATACGGTCGTTTATGGAGTGCCGTATACAATGTAGCAACGGAGACCGTATACACCCCGTTTTTATGCCATTCTGTAAAAAGTGTCTAAATCCATGTTTATATACTGTCTTAAGGTGAAATTCATATTTATTTTCTCAAGAATCAATCACAAAAGCTCAAGAATTGCACCTAAAGCACTGAATAACGTCTTTCGATAAAAAGAATTAAATTTATTTGTCTTTCACTTAATTAAATCTTATTATTATCAACTGGTAGTATGTTGCAAACAGTATTTAACTAAAATGTCACATAAATACTACACGGTAAAAAACGTGCACGCTTTAACCTAATGGTTTAAACGTCAAAATCTGATGCTTTTCGTAACCTGACGTTTTATCCATTCTAAGCTGACATTTTAACATTGAACTTTTTTGGATTTTACGCATTCGGAATATATGAATCAGCCAAAATTCCAATCTAATATCTGTCGTTCCCGAGATATGGGTCTCTGAAAATTTCGGATTTCATGATCTGATGTTATGATAATTAGGCTAACTGCTGGAAAGAAAGAACAAAAGAAAATGCAAAACTTTGTTAATTAGAACCATCCAACTTGACTTGAAAAATATCGGTTCCAAAATACAAGAGTTGTACTCATTTTGGAATAACTCGGCATCAAATAAAGATAGGCACTTGCGGTTTTCACCATTTGATAGCCAAAACTTGAGGGTATCTTTTAGCAAGCAAAGCCGATTTTCTGAAAAATTTTCGAAGCCGGTTTTTCGGAGGATCCTTGGAAAACTAGGTTGAATTTTTCGAAATTCAAATAGGAATCTAGTGATTTTTTGGGGACATATATAGTCTGAAGTGTCTTCTACAAACTGGACCCAACCAACATTTTGAAAACTCATGGTTCGGGAGCTATGGACATTTTCCCTGAAGCCTTCGCACTTTTCTGCCGTTCGGTTTGGGACACGGAGAAATGAATGAAAACATATGTTATCAACTATGCTGAATCTCATGGCAATATTAGTTTTCAGAACAACATGCAACAATCGAGTGAAAACCTATACTAGTTGAAATAATCCATTTTTTCTATTTTCATCCAAAACTGAAAAATTCATAACTCAGTCAGAATCCATCCAAAATGTTTCAGAATGTCAGAAAAAAGTCTATTTTATCTGCAAGG